CCCCCCCCCCCCCCACCTGGGCCCTGCCCCTCTCAGCCCCTCCCCTCCCTGAGTCCTTCCCTGGGGCTCCTCCCAGTTCCTTCCCTCCCAGCCCCCCCCGCCCACCTTGGCCCCGCCCCTCTCAGCCCCTCCCCTCCCTGAGTCCTTGCCTGGGGCCCCTCCCTCCCAGTTCCTTCCCTCCCAGCCCCCCGCACCCTGAGTCCCCTCCCCCCACCTGGGCCCCGCCCCTCTCAGCCCCTCCCCTCCCTGAGCCCCTCACCTGAGCTCCGCCCCTTCTCTCCCGGCTCCTCCCCCACCTGGGCCCCTGCCCCCCTGCGCATGCGCGCCCACCTAACCTCCCGCCACAGTTTGAGGCGCTCGCGCTCCGGCCCCGCCCCACTCCTGTCAACTTCGGCCAATCAGGAGTCGCCCGCCGGCCCGCTCCCCACGTGATTTCGCGGTTCCGGCCAATCAGGGAGCGGCCGCTCAGGCCAGAGCCAATGGGAAGCAGCGGCCGCGCCCACCCGTCCCGGCTCGGCCAATCAGCGGGCGACTCCCCAGGCAGCGCGCGCCGCACGGGAGCCCGGGCAGCGGCTGTGGCCGGCGGACGCTCAGCGCCTGGCCGAGACAAGGGGAGGGGGAAACCGGGGTCCGGAGCTACGTCACCGGGGGGACCCCGTTACCAAGGAGACCGGGGTCCAGGAGCTGCGTCACTGGGGCGGCCCCGTTACCAAGGAGACCGGGGTCCCGGAGCTACGTCATTGGTGGCACCCCGTTACCAAGGAGACCGGGGACCCGGAGCGACGTCACTGGGGGGACCCCGTTACCAAGGATACCGGGGTCCCGGAGCCACGTCACCGGGGGAACCCCGTTACCAAGGAGACCAGGGCCCCGAAGCTACGTCACCGGGGGACCTGGTTACCAGCAAGGCCTGGGTTCTAGAGCTGTGTTACAAAGGGGACTGTGTTGCTAAGGCGGCTGAAGTTCTAGATCCTTGTTGCCAAGGCGACCAGGGGTCATGCCCGCCAGCCTCGCTGCCCTGGGGGCCGGGGCCCTCTAGCGCTGCGTTGCTAGGAGACCAGGGTTCTAGAGTCCCAGCGCCGAGAGGAGGGGTCAGACAAGGGCTCGGGCTGCGCAGGAGCCTGGTTGCCATGCTGACCAGGGTCTGAGTTCTAGAGCAGCGTTGCCAAGAGACGCGATGTTCTGGAGCCATTTTCCCATGAGGGGGCAGGTTTTCTAGATCGGCGTTCGTGAGAGGTTCTCGATCCTGAGGGCAGAGGGAACAGCTAGAGACACGTGTGGGGGGGTTCTAGAGCCATAGAGCACTGGGGCGGTGGGTCTAGAGCTGGAAAAGGGCCCTGCCAGGCTCCAGAACTGCATTGCACAGGAAGGCAAAGGGGATCCAGAGCTGGGGAAGGGGGAGGGGTCCAACCTGTCGCTCTCACTCTATCTCAGCCTCCAAGACCCACATGTTTTGGCTCCCCTGAGCCCCCCGGGGGGGGGGGGGATCGGTAGCAGGGTCCCCCCACTCCCTGCAGGGAGCCAGTGCACTCTAGCAGCAGCCAGGGTGGGGAGACGATGCGGTGAGCTGTTGTGTCGTCAGCTAGATAACAAGGGAGGTAATGGGAGGGAATTAATTCCCCCCCCCCCCATACACACACACGGGACAGGAGAGGCTGGGGCAGGAGCTGGGTAAATTTCCAGCCACTGCTACCATGACTTGCTCCGGTCTCAGCCAGTAAACTGCTCAGAAGAATAGAACCCAGGAGTCCTGGCTCCCAGCCCCGCCTCCTCTAACCCACTAGACCCCACTCCCCTCCCAGAGCTGGGATAGAACCCAGGAGTCCTGACTCTCAGCACCCCCTCCCCAATGCTAGGGAGGGGGAGCCAGCCATGCCGTCTGAGGCCCTGCCCTGCTTCCAGCTGCTGCGGATGGGCCCGGCCTGCCCGGGGGATGACCCGAACCGGGACCTGCACACCTTCCGGCCAGCCGGGCCGCACTGCACCTACCGGCTGGGGCGCCGGGCCGAGGTCTGCGACGTCCCCCTGGTGTCGGAGCGCAATCCGGGGCTGGTGTCCCGCGTCCACGCCGAGATCCACGCCGAGAGGGACCCGCACAGCACTGCCGGGGAGTGGCGGGTCTGCCTGGTGGACTGCAGCACCCACGGTGAGGGCTGGGGGGCGCTGTGCTGGGGGGAGCGGGGCGGGAGCTCAGCAGGGGGCGCTCTGTCCTGGCAGTCAGCGCTGGCTCTAATGTCTTAACACTGTTGTTCTGGATCCCGGCTCAGTTAATTCCTTCCTCTGCACTTCGCATCAGAGACGATTCCCTTTTCACTTCCTGTTTAAAGCCTCGCCCAGGGTTGCTAGCCGCCGAGCCTCACCCCAGAGGCAGCTGCATTTCAGCCCCAGGCCAGTCATCCCAGTGCAGGGTCCCTGGGTGGCCACTAAACATGCCCCACCCCAGAGGTGGCTGCATGTCAGTGGCGACTGAGAAGATCCCAGAGGATAAGTTATCGCACACACAAAACCAATCCGCCCTCCCTCTCTGGGTTCTCCCCTCTGTCTAAGGCAGCGGTTCTGGGCTCGCGGGCTGCATGCGGCCCAGTTAGCACACAGCTGCCGGGCTCTGCTGGGCCCAGGCTCCCAGCTGTCTGGCACAGTGCATCGGGGTCGCCAGCTGGCTCCGTGGGGTCCGGGGCTGCCGCCCAGCCCTACAGAGTCCAGGGTCCAGGGCTGCCAGGCGGCCCCACGGGGTCCAGGGTCAGTGTTGGGGCTGCTGCCCGGCCCCACACAGCAGCATCCGGGGTCCCTGCCACCCAGTCCCCTGCCCAGGGCTCCACTCCTGGCCCCACTCTGTGGAGCAGTCTCTGGGCGGGAGGTGCTGGGCATAGGGTCTGTGGGGGGGGGGGTCGGGGAGGTAGGGGGGTGTTGTGGTTCTCAACCTGTGAACCAGGTAACAGGTAATAGGTTGAGAACCACTGGTCTGAGGTATCCGTCTGTATATCCCTCACCCCCATACTCCTCTGTCTGTCTGTCTATCAATCTATTCATCCCCATACACATCTACCTGTCTCTCTGTCTACCCCTATACACACCTATCCATCTGTCTGTCCCCATACACGTCTGTCTGTCTGTCTATCCATCCCCATACACACCTATCTGTCTGTCTGTCCCCATACACATCCGTCTATCTATCCATCCATCCCCATACACACCTATCCATCTGTCTGTCCCCATACACGTCTGCCTGTCTGTCTATCCATCCCCATATACCCCCATCTCTCTAATCTCTCTCCCCCAATAGCTATCATCTCTCCATCCATTTCTACCTCTATTTGTTTAAAATTAAACCCCCTGGAAATTCCCTGACCCAAAGCTCTGGGCATGTCCCCCCTGTGAGCCCGGCGGTTCCCATGAGCAGGACTCGCTCCCCCGTGGCCACTAGCCCACCCCCACGTCTGCCGGGGACCCCTGGCCTCCCCCTTCACCCCGCTCTCTCCTTCCCATCTCCGCCAGGCACCTACGTCAACGCGGTGCGGGTGCCCCGGGGCCGGCGCCTGGAGCTGAGCGACGGAGACCTGGTCACCTTCGGCCACCCGGACCCCGTGCCCGAGGGCTGCGCCCTGGCGCCCCCGCCTGGCGACTCGGAGTTCTGCTTCCTCTTCCAGAAGGTGCGGGTGCAGCCGCAGGATTTCGCCGCCATCACGGCCCCCAAGGCCCCCTGGCCACTCCCCTGCGGCTTCAAACCCGTGCTGCCCGGCGGCAACCATCGCATCCGGCCGCTAGCTCGGCCCGCGGGGCCCTCCCGTCCCTCCCGCCCCAAGGCCACCCTGATCCTCAGCTCCATCGGCAGCATCAGCAAGCTGAAGCCGCAGCCACTGACGTTCACCCTGAGCCGGGGCCCGAGGTCGGAGCCGCCCGCCCGGCCCGGGGCCTCCAGGAGCCGACGGAAGTCGGCCCACACGCTGCTCCCCGAGCTGGAGGACGAGGTGACCCGGCTTGACGAGGAGCAGTGGGCTTGTGAGCCGGATGGATACAGCTGCCAAAGCCCGCTGCAGAGGGCGCCGGAGGGGGCGGGGAGCGGCGGGGCGCAGCCGGACGCGCGACTGAAGGTCCAGGTCACGCCAAGCGGGTGAGTAGAGTCGGTTTCCCAGCATGCTCTGTGAAGGGGGCAGAATCACAGCACCTACATCTCCCCCGAAAGGGCCGGAGATTGTCCTGCTATCCTCAGCCGTCATCGTCCGGCCAGTGTTATAGTTGGCACTGCCTGCAGCGCTCTGCCCCAGAGCTGGGCGCACAAAAGGCCCCAAACTTATAGTAAGGTGTGGGGGCTCCAGCCTGGCATCGGGACCTCTCAGAGGCCAACGTAGGTGAAGGGAGAGCCGTCAGGTTTAGCATTAAGGCAGCAATTGGCTTGTAGGGTCCTGTGATAACATTAGGGGCTAGTGAAGCCAGCCAGTGTTCCCTAGAGGGGACAGGCCCCATCCCCATTCCCCGCCCCCCTGAGCCAGCCAGTCCCCGCCCTGGGTCCAGATCAGAGCCCAGCGTCCCCCTAGCGGGGACAGGCCTCATATCCCATTCCCCGCCCCCCCGAGCCAGCCAGTCCCACGCCCTGGGGCTCGATCAGAGCCAGCGCCCCCTAGAGGGGACAGGCCCCGTCCCCAGTCCCCGCCCCCCTGAGCCAGCCAGTCCCCGCCCTGGGGCCGGATCAGAGCCGGTGCACCGTAGAGGGGGAGGCCCGGCGTCGCTCACCTCTCCCGTCCTGTTACAGGAAGCGGCGGGGGCGGCCGCGGAAGCACCCGCTGCGTGACACCTGCCAGGTGTTCTCACAGACGCTGCTGGCGGCGGAGCCCTGTGCGGCCCCGCGCTGCCACCTGCCCCAGGACGAGACGGTGCAGTGGGTGCAGTGCGACGGCTGCGACGCCTGGTTCCACGTGGCCTGTGTGGGCTGCAGCTACAGCGCCGTCCAGGAGGCCGACTTCCGCTGCGGGGGCTGCCGCACGTAGCCGCGGGGCAGGGGGGGAATGGAGCACGGGGCGGCCAGGAGACCAGAGACTGTGCAAGATGGGCAGGGAGTGGTGAAACCGTGCCAGGCTATTGTGAGCGCACAGACAGCAACTGGTTAAACTGTGCCAGGCGATTGTGAGCGTGCAGACAGTGACTGGTTAAACCGTTCCAGATGATTGTGCGTGCAGACAGTGACTGGTGAAACCATGCCAGGCAATTGTGCACTTACAAGCAGCGACAGGTGAAACATGACACCTTAGAAGGGACTGGTGAAATCGTGGGAAACAAGCAATGACTGGTGAAATTGTGCCAGGCGATTGTGCACGCACAGGCAGTGGCGGGTGAAAACATGCACCCCCGCACAGCGGCTAGTGACTCCATGCCAGCCAAGTGGAGACTGGGTGAAAACAGCTGAGGAGCGTGAAGCAAGAAACGTAAGCCAGGCACGTGGCTGGTGATGGAAACAAGAGATGCCTGGCTCATGACTTGTGCAAAAGTGCAAAGACGATTGTGCAAACCTGGGAGCCGAGCACATCCCCCTGGGCTGGGATTTCTGTCCCCCCCACAGGGGAGCAGGGAATGGGACACGGGGCCTTTCCCCTCTATGGGGCACTAGCTCCACAATCCAGCCCCAGCGCACGTGAGCCGTGGCTTGTGAAAATGTGCCCGGCGGGTGAGAGCCAATGGAGTGCCCACGCGTGAGCAGTGCCTCACGCTGACCGTGCCGGGCTATCGCTCCCAATCTGGCTGGGCGTTTGCCCGGTGCCTCATCAGAGCATTCGGCAGTCGTGCGCAAAACGAGCATTGAAGCAGACGACTCGCAGAGATTACACACGGCCCTCGTGACAAAGCAAGACAGCTGTGCAGCCTCGCACGAGATGACCCGGTCGTTTCCATGCCCACGGGGACTCGAGGAGGGCATCCAAGACACACACACACATACACCCCGTGCGATTGAATCCTCTGCCAGCCTTTACACCCTATTCCCTTCCTTCTTTCCGTAGCAGCCGCTTCTCCATGCACCTGGATTTCCCCGTGCAAATAATCCCAATCACCATGGCCGCCCACGGAGCCGCTTCCCCGCTCCCTTCTTCCTTCCAGGGGAGGGGAGACGGAAAAGAAGGGAGTGAAAACGTGCCGGAAAGGCCAGAAACACTGGATTTTTCAGCCTGTTCCTAAACCGGGGTTCTTCTTCCTGTTCCTAAACCGGACCTTTCCCGCCCACAACACTGGTGAATGGCTCCTCCACCCCCCGCCCGCCATGGGCGGAGACACGGATCCACCTCTCCCCTGGGTTATTTTTTCCTTCTTTTGCTCTGGCACCAAAAAAAAAAGGGTTTCTAACCAATCACCTGTTTGTTTTTCTCCACCCGCCTGCTCCACTTGTGCCCATTGCAGTCTAACGTGCGCCGCAGAACCAACCCCCAGCGAATGGTTTGTGCATAACTCCCGCCCACTCTGAATTTGCTGCAGCAGAGTGTGCCTAGCTCCCTCCTCAGCTACTGCGCACCTGCTGGCGGGAGGCTGGTATTGCAAGCCTGGGAATTGATGCCCCCGGGGGCAGGAGAAGCCGAGGGGCGCACCCCCAGAGGGGAACTGTGGCTCAGGGGGCAGGGAGTTGGGAGACCAAGACCCCCCCAATAGGATTTATTCTGTCACCTGCAGTTCGGGCCCATTCCCTGCTGGCCACAGCGGTTGCTTCCCTGGATCGGGTCCTACACAACCAAACCGAAGCTGCCGGCAGCTGTCTGCCCAGCCCGGGTTCAGGTGGGGAGGGGAGTGGGGCCTAGTGGTTAGAGCGGGGGGGCTGGGAGCCAGGACTCCTGGGTTCTCTCTCTGGCTCTGGGAGGGGAGTGGGGCCTAGTGGTTAGAGCAGGGGGGTCCTGGGAGCCAGGACTCCTGGGTTCTCTCTCTGGCTCGGGGAGGGGGACCTAGTGGTTAGAGTGGGGGTCCTGGGAGCCAGGACTCCTGGGTTCTCTCTCTTGCTGCCCCCATGACCTGAGCTTCAGTCTTTTCCTGTTACACCCGCCCCAGTGAGAAGAGGCAGTGTCAGGGCTGCGGCGCTAGCCCAGGCCGGGGGGTTTCCTGGCTGGGAAGGGGTGGGGAGTAGCCATGGCCAGGTGGCCTTGGGGGGTTAAATCCTGCCCGGCAAGGCCCCTCCCTGAGTCAGCGGCTGGGGTTCTGGGTCCCACCCTAGCTTCCCTGCTGGAGCTTGGAGCCACACGCTGTCTCTCACTCCATGCAGCAGAGTGTGGTAGTGTCACACTGCGAGTTCTGCCTGGGAAACTAGAGGGGGCGCTGTCCCTGGCTCTGAGTGCTGGACCTTTGTGCATCTGGGCTGCAGGGGGCGGGGCGGGGGCTCAGCAGGGGGTGCTGGGCTGCAGGGGAGGGGGCGCTGGGCTGCAGGGAGCAGGGCAGAAGGGGGTGCTCTTCCCCATGTTACAAAGCCGGACACAGACACCACAAGTTGTTTGGGTAACAAGTCATTTAATAAGGCACTAAGAGGCGGGCGCGAGTGCGCAGCAGCTTCCCGTCAAGACACGGCTGGATTCTCGCTCCCGCCCAGTAAAACCCAAATCACTTTCCCCTCATCAGATTCAGCAGGGGGGAAAAAAAAGAGAGAAAAGATTGGAGGGAAGCAGGTGGCAGGGATGCAGCCAGAGGGGTCAGGACCCACTCGCCTCCTGCTGGAGAAAAAAGAGTCTTACACTATTTACACCATTCCCTAAAAAAGAGCTACAAAGTCTAGAGGAACATGGCTGATCTAGAATCCACCCCTCGAGGTTCCTGGGATGGGAGATGGGGGGCTGTGAATCCACCCCTCGAGGTTCCTGGGATGGGAGATGGGGGGCTGTGGGGACCCTGGGGGTTGTTGCGGAGCAGCCGGACACTCCGGATGCTGGAGGGGGTTGTGTGGGTCTGGAGTCATGGTGGTTCTAAACTCCTGTCCTGGTTCTGGAGTCACTGTGGGTCTAGACTTGACACGTGTTGGTTGTGGACTCACCATGGTTCAGTATCGTGATGTCTTTAGCAAAGGGAGCAAGGTTCTAGACATACTGTACTTGTTCTAGAGTCAAAGAGCTGCTGTGGCTCTGGACCATCCCCCCTGCAACCTGAGGTTCCTGAAGGGGAGATAAGGTTTGGACACCCCTGCTCTAGACCCTCCATGGGTGGAGGCCTCCAAAGTGGGTGACTGGGCTCTAGAGCCAGAGTGGTTAGTCTAGATCAGTGGTTCTCAAACTGTGGGTTGGGCTCAGGCTTTGGCTCCCCCACCCAGGACAGTGGGAATCAGATGGACTCAGGCTTCGGTTCCCCCCTCTTGGGGTCGTGTAGTAATTTTTATTGTCAGAAGAGGGTCAGGGTGCAATGAAGTTTGAGACGCCCTGGTCTAGATCGCGTACACATAGGTTCACAGAAGATCACCGTGATGGAGTCCTAGTTTCATCAGGATGTTCTAGAGCGCCTACAGACTGAAGGGCTACACTTGAGGTTCTAGATCAACACCCAGAGGCTCTCAACATGGGTGGCCTGATTCTAAAGTATTCATGGTTGTACTAGACCCTCCCACCTTGAAGGGCCGATGTTCTGGATTCCACAAGGTTCTAGATCCCTGACCTGCAGCCCAAGATACCTGAAAGGAGCTGGCAGGAATCGAGCCACCAGAACTTTCTTAGCTATTCTAGATCTATAAAGATATTACAGGACTTTCTGGCATCACATGTTGAGATACCTAGAACACCATCAGCTCCAGATTGTCCACTGAGAGGCTGTAGCTGTTCTAGACCTCAGATGGCTGGGACACGGTGGGTTCTAGAGCACATTGAGAACATCCCACTTCTAGAGCCAGCCTGGTTGAGGGTGTTTGCGGTCCAGAGCCTCTGGAGCCAAGATTGGGTGCTGGCTCGAGAACGCCTGCTTGGTCTAGACAAGGCTGATCTAGAACCATTCCTTCCCCCTGCATTGGGTTGTTTCGTGCATTGAGGCCTTTCAGACTTGGGGGGAGATTTGCCTGTAAATAAAAAGGTACCCACAATCCCTTGCCTTAAAATTAAAAATGGGGGGAGAGGTGTGCAAATCACCCCCCTCCTGGGAAATTTACCCACAATCCTTTGCCATAAAGTTAAGGGGGTGTGTTTCCAGTTAAAATTCCCTGCCCTCCCACAGGCCTGTCAGTGTCTGCCCCCTGCCAGGTCCGCCTGCCCCACCCCTACCCCCAGGCGTTCAGGTGGAGTGCATGGGGTGGCCCATGAGGGGGGCCCCTGGGGGAGTGGGGTCGAAGGGCTCTCCCCCGTGGTGGAACTGGGGCACGTAGAGGGTGGCAAAGGCGGCGGCGTTGTAACCCTGGGGGGGCGGGGGATGGTGCCCCATGGGGGGCCCTGGCAGCTGGGCGGGGGGAGCGAAGGGCAGGGGCCCCCCCTCGCAGTCGTCGCGGACGGAGCAGCCCCCGCTGCGCTTCCCCTTCTGCCGGCGGTTGCAGAACCAGACACGGACCACCTGGGGGGGGACAGACGGACGGATGTCAGCGCCATGGGACGGACTGCCCCTGCGCCTCTCCCCCACAGACCGCCTGCGCCCCTGCCCCCCACAGCTCCGCACCCTCCCCTCCCCATCCCCTTAACCCGCAGCCCTCCATGCACACAGCTCCCCTATGTGCCGCACCCTCCTCTACCTAGCCCCCTAACCCGCAGCCCCCCATGCCCCTCTCCATGCACACAGCCCCCCCCACCCCGGCCCCCGGGACTCACGTCCTTGTCGAGGTGCAGGTCGTGGGCGATGTGGGCGATCTCCTGCAGGCTGGGCTTGGGGCAGCGCAGGAAGTAGCTCTCAAGGGAGCCCCGCGCCGCTGTCTCGATGCTGGTTCGCTTCCGCTTGCGGGCCTGGAGCAGGGCGCTCTCCATGCTGCACATCTGGGGGACAGGTGGGGGCCCCCCCCACAGAGTCACCCCAGCGCCTCGACTCAACCCGTCCCCCCGC